TGAGTGTAGCTCTCATCCTGTAACTACACTTAAGTAATTACACAAACATCCCCTCCCCCCTCACTCTCACACACACGTTGATTTAACCAACATGTCAAGGAACCCACAAGAATGAGAGGCAATGACGAACCAGCTAGACTCGATATGATATTCACCTTGAATGCGTAAAAAATAAGGGAAGTCAAATTTGAAGCCTTCATGAGAATGAGTGACCACAGTGTATTAACATTTGAGTATCTGGTAGAGGTAGGGATAACCTATCCAAGGAAGGGATTGGAAGGGAAAAGACTAAATTAACGAAGAGGAAAATATGACGAGTTGAGGAACTTCCTAATGGGAATACCATGGGAAACAGGACAGAGAGAAGACTGTACAGGATATGATGGACTATGTCACCCAGAAGTGCCAGTAAGTTCCAGACAGGTTTATCCCGGCCCAAAAGGAGAAAAATTAAAAGCAACAGAAGAATCCATGGTTCAATCAGGAATGTAAGGTAGCGAAGCAATTGAGTACAAGAACGTGGAGAAACTACAGGAATAACAGAACACCAGATAGCAGGGAGAGATACAAGAGGGCCAGAAATGAGTACCTCAGAGTGAGCAGAGAAGCAGACAGTATGAAAATGACATTGCAAGTAAAGTTAAGACTCAACCAAAACTGCTCCACAACCACATCAGGAGGAAAACAGCAATGAAGGAACAAATAATGAAACTGAGAAAAGGGGAGAACAGATACACAGAGAATGACAAGATGGTCTGTAAAGAACTCAACAAGAGTTTCCAGTTCTTCACAGTAGAACAAGGAGAGGCCTCTGTACTAAATGAGGAGGTGCCAAACCAAGCAACCTTGGAAGAAATGGACCTCACCAGTGATGAGGTCAAAAGAAATCCATTGGAGCTGAATGTGACAAAGGCTGTTGGGCCTCGTCTCATTGTGGATACTAAAAGAAAATGCAGCAGCACTGCTGTTGGGCCTCGTCTCATTGTGGATACTAAAAGAAAATGCAGCAGCACTAAGCCTCTCACAAAGCGACTAAGCACTGTGCCACTCACTATGGTGTATAACAGTTTACTGGAAATAGGAGACCAACTGGAAAGCTGGAAGACAGCTAATGTAGTCCCAATATATACAAAGGGTGACAGGCAAGTGGCACTGAACTACAGGCCAGTTTCCCTAACTTGTATACCATGCAAAGTGATGGAAAAGATCGTGAGGTTAAAAGCTCATAGATCATCTGGAGGAAAATAGCTTTGTAACACACCACCAGCATGAGTACAGAGATGGTAAATCATGCCTCACAGGTATATAAAATTTTATGACCAAGCAACAAAAATTAAGCAAGAAAGAGAAGGGTGGGCAGAGTGCATTTTCTTGGATTGTCAGAAAGCCTTTGACGCAATACCCCATAAAAGGCTGTTACAAAAGTTGGAGCAACAGGCAAGAATAAAAGGTAAGGTGCTACAGTGGATAAGGGAGTATCTAAGCAACAGGAAATGGCGAGTAACTGTGAGGGAGCAAGACATCAGAGTGGCGAGATGTCACCAGTGGAGTCCCACAGGGCTCTGTATTTGGACCCATCTTGTTTCAAATATATGTAAACAATCTTCCAGAGGAACAAATCCACAAGGGCCGTGACAAGGATTCGAACCTACGTCTGAGAGGATCCCAGACGCTGCCTTAATCGACTGAGCTACGACATGGTAGCTCAGTCGATTAAGGCAGCGTCTGGGATCCTCTTGGACATAGGTTCGAACCCTCGTCACAGCCCTTGTGGATTTGTTCATTTGATGTATCATGCTATTGTGATTTCTGTGTGTAATGATCTTCCACAGGGTATAGACTCATTCCTCTCAATGTTTGCTGATGATGCAAAAGTTATGAAAAGGGTCAAGACAGATAAAGATAGACAGAGACTACAGGATGACCTGGACAAATTGGAGGAATGGTCTAGAAAATGGCTACTAAAGTTCAGCTCAGGAAAGTGTAAGTAATGAAATTAGGTGAAGGGAGCAAGCTGCTGAACACAAGGTACCATCTGGGAGGTGAAATCCTGCAAGAGTCAAATAGAGAGAAAGACCTGGGGGTTGATACCACACCAAACCTGTCCCCAGAGGCCCACATCAAAAGGATATTATCAGCGGCATATGCTAGACTGGCTAACATTGTAACTGCCTTTAAATACTTGTGAAAGGAATCATTCAGGACTCTGTATACCACTTATGTCAGACCAATCCTGGAAAATGCAGTTCCAGCCTCAAGTCTGTACCTAGTTAAACACAAGACAAAGTTAGAGAAGATTCAGAGGCATGCCACTAAACTAGTCCCAGAACCGAGAGGAATGAGTTACGAGGAAAGGCTAAGGAAACTAAACCTAATGTCCCTGGAAAACAGAAGAGTAAGGATATCCACCATGATATCCACCTACAAAATTCTCAGGGGAATTGACAGGGTGGACAATGACTAACTCTTTAGCATGGGTGGAACATGAACAAGGAGAGACAGGTGGAAACTTAGTGCCCAAATGACCCACAGACACATCATCAAGAATTTTTTCAGTGTCAGAGTACTGGTAGTTAACAAATGGAATGCATTAAGTAGTGATGTGGTGGAGGCAGACTCCATACACAGTTTCAAATGTAGATTTGATAAAGCCCAGTAGACTCAAGAACATGTACACCAGTTGATTGACAGTTGAGAGGCGGGACCAAAGCTAAAGCTCAACCCCCACAGGCACAATTAGGCGAGTACACACACGTGCAAACTTTTAAATGACAGTATTCCTGTAATACAAAACCTTGTCATATCTGGAAATAAAACCCTATTTTGACATGTCATTCAATTTGTATAGTGTAGCCTATTGTTAAATAACATGCCAATTCCCAGGAACATAACTATTGTACAGTATTACACAAGATGTTGCCTGTAACTCAAGCCATGTCTCACTGTACTGTATTTAGAGAGAGCTCAAAATAGGGTAATAAAAGACAACTTAGCAATTTAAGTTTTTAAGTTCATATCTGCCAAGATGAGACTGTTAAGAGCAAGATAGCACCAGTCAGCAAAAAATACAAATAAAATCAGTATTTACACTGTAAAGTACATTGGGAAAAAACTAACCAATCATTCATTATTTAACAGCAACTACAGCCACATCATGCATACTCTAGCAAACAAAATCCCAGTGTAAGATATACCATTTCCTAACAAAGTCTTACGTACTCTGAAAGAATAAATTATACACCAGGATTTTATCACAAAAACTATTCTTAGACATATTCACTTTTTCAACGAGGAATGTATCTGTTTACCATTCAAAATTCACTAGAGGGGTCAATGAGGGAAAGGGAGGGAATTATCAGGGGAAAGTGTCAAGTCATTACGACTATATAGCACTTGGAAAGGGTCAGGATAAGGATTTGGCATGGAGGGGAAAGGAATGGTGCTCCAACCACTTGGACGATCAGGGACTGAACGCCGACCTGCATGAAGTGAGACCATCGCCCTATCGTCTAGCCCAAATGGTTGGACGTCAAAATTCACCAGAAGAAACCACATATGCAAATCACTCGCTGCATGCACTGAACTTAAAAGAGCTATATACAAGCCTTAACACCATTATATAGAATTCATCCTTTATACATGAAGACACCTGAATGAGCTGGTAGGAACGCTTGCCAAATAAAGGCTACAGTCTCTTGGTATAACAACTGTATAACATACGCCATGCCAGGAAAGCAGCAATTTTCACTATTATTATAACAGATTCCTTAATATAAACTTATGTAATGCTTTACAATCTTGCATCTTTGGTCTTCACATAATTCTTAACAATAAAGTTACTACAAAAAACCAGCGTTGAATGTAATTAAACACCATTTTCTGGGCAAGACCTGGAGGCTCCCTGGAGCTATCCGGGCTGAAGTGAATGTATTAGACCATGGCATCAGTCAAAGCAAATGGAGTTCTTAGGCCGATCGGGGACCACGAGCCAGAACCTGGCCCCCCTCAGAGAGGCATGAGGAGCAATGACCTATAAACCCCCCCGTGTGGTTGGAAGCATTCTATGTCTGCCATCGACCGGGTCAGGCACCCAGAAAGGTAGGAGCTCCAAAACAAACCCAATCTGGTTAAAAATTACTACTGAAAGCCGAACTGTTGGACAGACCTCCCCAAACTAAAAGTGAGCAAACGAGCATGACGTCATAACTATCACTGCACTGCTGTCTCTACGCAGCTCCCACCTCCCGGGAGGGAGAAGGGGAAGCTCCAGACCCCCCCCCCTGCATTGGTTATCCACCCCCAGATCTGAGGCTGGATGTCAAAACCATGAAAACCGCCGACCCGAGGGAGGGAGGGTTGCCAGGAAGCCTCCGGATCTCACCCAGAAAATGGCATTTCATTACATTCAACGGCAGTTTTCTGGGGGAAGCCCCTTTGGCTCCTTGGAGCTACTTAACCAAAGATAAAAACAAGGAGGACTCACCCGGGAGGAGGTCGCCACTCGCTTCTCAACTCGAAGTCGAGACAACTGGCTACAACCTCTAACCTAATACGACACATGCTTGACTAGATTCAGGAACACTAAATAGGTAGCGAGCGGCCAGGATCCTGTTCGACCTCCAAAAACCCTGTGCCTGTTACAACACATGATGCATCCCGACCAAACCAACCAAGCATCAACAACACAAGGACCCCTCTGGAAAGCAGCAGTCTCATTCTTCACCAGAAAAGGAGGAGATGGCTGCAAACGAACAAACCTACCACCATGACCAAAAGAGCAGAAATCTCTGCGCCAGAGGAGAGCATGAAGCTCCCCAACTTGACCCCCAGAAGTCAATGCCAACAGGAAAAAAGAGCATCCGAAAAACAATCTTGAACTATAGCGACCACCACAAACCGAGGAGAAGAGAGAGCACCCAGTCCAATGACCAGGATGGCTTAGGCAGTGCATGAGCAGGCCGGAGGTGAAACAACACACAAGACAGCTTGTGGAACGGAGCAGAAGTAACATCCACCCCGAACACAAGCTGAAGCGGCTCCGCCAGTGCCGCACGATATGAGGTGGCAGTATTTGGCATAAGATGATGGACCTGAACCAACCAAAAAAGGAAGGACAAGACAACCTGATCTGAAACCGAAGAAAACCTACGGAGGGACAAGAAATAATGAACGGACTGCCAGAAAACTTCACATTGCTGCCGAGACGAAGCACGCAGGTGGGACACCATCAACGAAGCCACCTGCTCACATACAATTTGTGACGAGGGTGATAGACCCGCACCACAAAGACCAGACACGCAGACTTGAGGAGAAGATCGAACCAGCTACATGATGGACTGGCCCGATCTGCTGAAAGAGGCAGAGCTGCGGGAAGACCCCTGGGTTTGGGCACCGAGCAAGCAGCGCCTGAATCCAAGGCTGGGGCGGCCACCAAGGGGCCAACAGGACTACTCTTTCCTGGTAAATCTCCAAGCGAGCCAGGATATAAAGCAACAGCAGAACCGAGGGAAAGAGGTACAGTTAACCCCACCTCGACCAGTCCTGCTTGAAGGCATCTACCCCGACGGCCTCACAGTTGGGGGTAGGGCGCCACATAATTTGAGAGACGCCTCGACCACGCCACTGCGAATTAGTCCACCTCCAGGAGCCCGTACGTCTGGCAGAGCCAACGTAACGAGTCTGTTATCTTGCATCGACCATCCATCCCATGGACAAGGTAATGAACTGAGACAGGCTGTCAGCCAGGACGTTGGATAACCCCCACCCCCCACCCCCCACCCCCCAAATATGAACGGCCAGGAGAGCCAAACCCCGAGAACTCAGCAGACGAGTCACCCGAAGCAACCAGCCCCTAAAGAGCCAAGGACAGCATCGAAACCCCCCCCCCCCCCGGTTCAGGCAATGAACCACCGGGGAGCAGTCGAAATGGAGCCGGATCGTTGAACCTCAAGCAACCACCTGAACTCTCCGAAGTGACATCCACACGGTCACAAACTCCCGCACCGTGCTGTGGACGGAAGGACAGGCCCCACCACCCCTGGCTGGCCTGGTGAGCACTGGTCACAAAGCGCCAAGCTCCAAAAGAAAACGAACCTGGGACAGAGTAGTCATCTGAAAAGAGAAGTAATAGACCCAGGGGATCAGACGGAACAAGTCCAGAATGAACTGCAGGTCCGTGCAGTCCCGTTTTGTAACAGGTGGGAAACCCACCTGAGGAACGAGGACGTTTCAACTACGCCCAAGCAAACCCACTCCAAGATGACCTGACCTGACAAAGCGCAGGAGAGGAGGCCTGTCCCAAACCCCCCGAAGGAGGAGCTGCCCAATGCCACCACAGACTGGTGGATATGACCTGAAACGGCCACTAATTGTGGGACCAAGCGTGAGCAAACAGTACGAGCCTTCCCCCCCCCCCCCTGTTACTTGTCATGATAAGTAGCTGTTCGTTACTTATGTAAAAAGTGACTTCGTCAATGGGGTGAACCGCGAAAAAAACGATGCTCATTACAAGAAGCTGACCAACGAACAGAGAGATCACCGCGCCGACCAGATGACGCTGACTCTGAAGGCAACATCGACTCAGAAACTGGCACCAATGGCCCACCCTGACCAGAGGAACCCTGAGCCCTGGCATGACCTTTCAGAGAAGGCCGAGAACAGTCACCCTGGAGAACCAGCAAGTCCGACATAGGACTACAACTAGACTAAGCTGCTTGCAGAAACTGCATGACTGCAGTCCCCGCAAATAGCAACAGACAAAACGGTGAAGAAAACCTAAGAGCCAGGGGCCCAAGTGGATTCCAAAGAGAGAGAGAGAGAGCACAGCCTGATGGCACGCAAGGGGAGAAGCAAAGAACAGAGACACTGCATCTTTGAGAATCGGCATAAAGAGCTTCAACGGTACGGCCGACACCAAAGCTGTCGATGTCAGCGCATCAGACAAAAGCCTGGCCCTCAACGCCTCCACATCCTCCTCAAGCCAGGCCAAAGACAACTCGAAAAGGGAAAAGAACCGCAAAACCGAAGCCAAATGACCCACCGGAGCTCAAATCTTCAGCAACCAAGGACGCCAAAAGGGAAGGAACATTCTGGCAGTCTGCTAGTCTGGAAGACTCCGCAGCCTCCAAATGCACCCAATACGGGGAAGAAAAACCAAACTCAAACGAGGACGGATCCATCACGGAGGCAGAATCCGGGTCTCGCAGGAGGTAAGCAGCAAGCGCCTCCCGAACCTCCTGCGTATCTCTTGGTGAGATACGAGAGGCAGAAAACCTCCGGAAAGGAGCCAAGGAACCCAAGGGAACCTGGAACCGAACCCAAGGAGGAGCCGACCCCAAATCATACTCAGACAGGTACTGGGGGGGGGGAGGGTAAGAAAACCCCTCCCCTGCAACAACAAGTCCTGCAAAGAGGGTACCACCACCTACTCTTTGGCCCCTGGGGTCAAAGGAGGCCCAAGCCCCGGAATCCTCCAAACCAGGACATGGTGCAGAGTAGTCCTTTATACCCTCTACCCTTGAAGAAAAGGCAGAGTCCAGGAGAAAAGCAGAAAAGAAGGGGGGCCTGCTGGTGGGACCCAGAAGCCTTGGCAGGAAGAATTGGCTTGAATGCCTCCATCCCCAACCTGAATGGGTCAGTCCCTGAAGCTGCCCCGAGTCTCATTACCAACTTAACCTTGCCCTGAATCTGAAACCCTCAGATGTTTGGGAGCCGGAAACAGGGAAGGGCAAACAGAATGAACAACAGGGGAAGGACCGGAGAGCGCGGACTGCACCAAAGTCGAAGTGACTAACGCCCCCCAGGTCTGGGTCCGTATAACCAAAACGAGGCAGCCATGGGGCATCCGGGTGGGCAACCAACCTAGTGTATTGAGGCAACCTAAAACGAGCATGTAATGTGGATGATGCTTGAACCCAAATATCAACGTCATCAGAATGGGTAAATTGGAGAACAAGCAGAGAGCATGACACGCAAGACTCTGGGTCAAAGATGTCGTTAACCCAACATGCAGCATGACAGAGGCGAAAGCGGTGACTGTCACCCTGAGACAAGGGCACACATCAACCTTTAAACTCGCACGAGGTGAGGTGGAACTCAGAAGACACATCTACAAGTCTAATGAACCCCAATGGAGATTTCCAGGGCCCGCAGGCTAACTGCTACGGGAAGACCATGCAAGGTACTGAAAAACTGGCTGGGCTCAAACTAACAAGGGAATCTGCTAAGGCTGAACCCCTGCGACGTGTCCAGTTACGGGGGCCCTAGAGGGGGGCCACCCAACCAACAGAAATGGACCAAGAGCCAAATAAGGCAGACCCCCCTCCAAGCAAGAAAACAAAAATTAAAAGAAAACCCCCGCAAAAGGACGTCTCCATAAGGAACAGAAACCAGCTGCAGTGTAGGTAGGCGAGCTGTGCAGTACCTTGCGCTGCATACCAGCAAACGATACCACTTCCTGCCTAAGGCCAAACAGAAGCCACGAAAACCCCAGCTGGGCCCAAGGGCGGGGTAAGAGCCGAGTGGCAAAGACCCCTACGGAAGCGGTTCCTGAAAGTTATATGGCAGGGTAACCCTAGAACCAAAGGGTAGTACTTACAGAGCGCCCGGGGAAGAGAACCCCGAGTGCATGCAGCCCCAGTATTAGTCAAGGTACACCTGGCCACCGCACTTCACACACAGCAGAAACACACCATTAAGGCACACAACTGCACGGGAATCTGAGGCTTGAGTCAACATCCACTCCAGACAACGCCCTAGATGGCTTGGGTAGCTGGTGCCTACCTTTCTGGGTGCCAACCCCAGTCGATGGCAGACATGGAATGCCCCCAACCACATGGGGGCTTCTGTAGGCCATTGCTTTCCTTGCCTCTGAGGGGGGCAGGTTCTGGCTTGTGGTCCCCGGTAGGATGAACTCCAATTGACTGATGCCCCAGACTAATATAACACACATCAGCCTGATAGCTCCAGGGACCTGTAGGGACTCCACTCAGAAAATTAGCTTATGGTATAATAATAAACAAATTAAATAGTCGAGATGCACACAAATTATAAAATCAACTTTACTCTCCATTATTAATTAAAACTTGCAAATTACCTCCTGAAAGCCTAACATTTATTCACAAAAAACAAGGATCCCAAAACATTAGAGGTGTACAGTACCGTACATTAAATACAATTTCACGTTAATCTAACCTGACATTTTCACAAAAGATCTTAGCTGCATAATCACATTTTCTATAAATACAAAAGCATCAAAGTGCCATGTACACTCCCGGGACTGGTATTACACCCCATATTTAAATTGTTCAATTAAACATACGTACTTTGTACAAAATTTTGAATAATTGGTTTACTGTATCAAAACACTCGAATCTCAAAAGGTATTTACAATAGTACTATTTAGAAAGTAATGGAAGTTTCTGCAAGAATGGTCGAATGTCTACACATGAACAATTATGCACACATCATGAAGTGCGCTGTATACTTTAAATACCTAATAACAAAAACGCAATGCAAGTACAATATATCCACATAACAAATGTTATTTTTGTAGTCTTCAAAGTTGTTACTGTAACATACATTTTGGGGGGATCACTGACCACATAAAAAAAATCATACAATATACTAGTTTTGTTGACTGGAAATTTATCTGGCAATAATTTACTATTTCCAATTTCTGGAATAGTGTAGACAAAATGGAATGGTTACAGGCTCTAGTAGACTGTGTGCCTACTTCAGATATCTGAATGCCAGGTGACCCTCTACAGTAACATTTCCTGTAACAAAACAATAGAAGTTTGAAAGGTTCTCACACAGAATAAGGTATTAAAGCATAAATTTGAACTTACATCCACTGTGAAAAAACAACATTAAATGTAATCAAATGTTTCTTTCTGGTGGACCCCATGGTGGTTGCAAGTTCTATCTGGACTAGATCCACCCAATTCAATCTATACCAAGCTCTTGTGATTTATTGCAAACCTATCAGAGACCAAAGGTCAAAAGTTGGCATCCTTCTATAAAGGCACATGGAGCCGAGAATACTAGATCACTCTAACAAAGAAAAGGACGTCCATTAAAGATGGACATCCCAAAACAGACAAAGGTAAATGAAACAAAAACGAGACAAGATCTTGAACCAAACAAACAAACCTTTCAACACACATTTCACTTGCTAGTCCCAATCTTCACCAGAGTACAGCACACTGTCCTCCACAATCCCCTAGCCTTGATGGCCAGTCATTTAGCCAGGAAGAAGTAAGTAATTATCAAAAGAAGGCACCATGCCAGGGGGGGGGACTATGTAGCACCATTAAATGTGCAGGATATTCAAAAGGTGCTAAATATCACTAAGGATACCAATACTAGAATAAAAGCACATAAGGTGAACAATATCAAAAGCATCCGATTCATTAAGGATTCTAGCGAGGGACAGTGGGGAAGCAAGACACACACACGTCCTGGAAGTCAGGACATTCAACAAGGATATACAAGACCATAAGAGGAACAATGCCGTTTGGACATTAAGGAGCAGGGCGGCGTTCCATTAAGTGACCGAGTTAAGCATGTATGGCCAATACGTATTAACCCTTGTGTGGCTCAGGGCTAATTAGCATTTGTCACCCACAGGTGCATACCAAAAAAATAAAAGCAAAAAATTATTTATTCTTCTAAACCTGTTAATTTGTGTTCTCTGATCATGGGAAAAATAATAAAAATATCGTAAGTGGCATATATTGCCCGCTATAGGGTGGGAAAGTCTAGCAAAAAACAGGCGCTGACTCAGTGTGCGTCCCGACGGTCTGTTGCTTGCCAGCTGTCAGGAAGGAGTGGCCACAAAGAGATAATTACCTAATTATTTCAATGTCTCTGATTGATTTTTCGTAGTGTTTTGCTGTAATATTATTCAATAGTGTGTAGTGTGATATATTTATATAATAAAATGAGTGAATCATCACTATACTCAAAAATATGGTGTGCATATTGTTGATTCAATTATTATGTTCATCAAACAGTGAACAAATACTTTGTCGTTTATTACACTATATACACAGGTTATATATAAGTATCTGCATGTTTTGTTCACCATAACGAATCACTAAGTTGGTATTATGAGTCAAAAAGCAACGAGGAGTGACCGCCACACACCTGCCAACCACTCGCTGCCACTCATTCCCTCAACACCTCACTCGCCCACATTCTCCTCCCACCATACTGTTTTTGCTTTTATTCACTATATACAGATGTTATATATAAGTATCTACATTCATGTTCACCATAACGAACCACTAAGATGGCATGCTGAGTGGCAATGTCAGTGGCACCCAGTGGCAGCCTCTGCCACTGCCACTCCCTCCCTCCCTTCCTCCCTCAACTCACCTGACTCTGCCACATTCTCCTCCCACAATACTGTTTTTGCTTTTATTCACTATATACAGACGTTATATGTAAGAATCTACATGTTTTGTTCACCATAACTGTACAACTAAGTTGATATAGTTAGTTCAGGCACTAAGAGACGTCGCTACACACAGACAGGTGGCGGCTGCCTCCCTCACACATTCAAGGTCAGACGCACTAAAATTTCACTCCCAACAATACTGTTTGTGGTGTTATTACCCTATATACACACATTATATATAAGTATCTACATGTTTTGTTCACCATAACTGTTCAACTAAGCCGGTATAATGCCCAAAGAGCATAGTGGCCACCCCTACCAACATGACAAATTATGCAGATGTTGCCACACCCATCACCAAAATGGCTTCTCCCCCACACTCCTTTTGCTGTTATTACACTCTATATACACGTTATATATAAGTATCTACATTCGTGTTCACCATAACGAACCACTAAGTTGGTATGCTAAGTGGCAGTGGCAGTGGCCGCCAGTAATGGCCACTCCCTCCCTCCCTCACCACACCTGACTCGCCACCATTCTCCTCCCACCATACTGTTTTTGCTTTTATATACAGATGTTAAATATAAGTATCTGCATGTTTTGTTCACCATAGCGAACAACTAAGGTGGTATAGTGAGTCCAGACAGTAAAAGGTGGTCACACAGAGTCAGCAGACAATGTTACCTCCCTCCCCACCAAGATTACTCCTCCCACTACAGTGCTAATTATCATAACAATCCTGCTATTATCAGAATCCTGGTCATTTTTATCACAGTCAGGGGTCTTCTGTAATACTATCATCGGAAAATAATAGCATGAACATGTATCTTATGGCATTTTTAGGCGATGCTGTGGTCACAAGCTGAACAGCAGTGCTGTGAGCTCATGCTGCGTGCATCAGGCTTGGTGGCTCACTCAATACTGAGGCCCTTACCCCGGGAATTTGGCCCACGATTTTTTTTTTAAATGGTGTCTGTTTACAAGGGCCCTGATGAAGATGAGGTGAACCCTGTGTACCCTTGCGTGAATTTGGCCTATAGACACCCCCGTGTGGTTGGAAGCATTCTATGTCTGCCATCGACTGGGTCAGGCACCCAGAAAGGTAAGCGCCCACGATTTAGAACTCCCCAAACAAAAAAAAAACCAGCGTTGAATGTAATGAAACGCCATTTTCTGGGTGAGCCCCGGAGGCTCCCTGGAGCTTATCGGGCTAATGTGTGTTATGTTAGACCGGGACATTAGCTAAGGAGTTCAGACCTACCAGGGACCAGCGCCAGAACCTGGCCCCTTCAGAGAGGTTTCAGGGAGCAATGGCCCTGGAAAACCCCATATGGTTGGGGGTTTTCCTTATCTGCCATCGACCGGGGTTAGGCACCCAGAAAGGTAGGCGTAACAAAACAAACCCCACATGGTAAGAAACTACAACAAAAACCGAACAGAGAGGTAGAAAACTCCCTACAATCCCAAGGAAACAAGCAAACAAGCAAACATCACACTTTACTGCCGCGCCGATCGTCCGCGCAGCCCTCCCCACCCCGGGAGGGGGAGGGGGGAGCCCCGGACCTACCGCGCCGGCTGCCAAGCTCCAGTTCGGAAGCTAAGCTTCAACCAACGCGAAAAAACCGCCGACCGGTGGGAGGGAGGGTTTCCAGGGAGCCTCCGGGGCTCACCCAGAAAATGGCGTTTCATTACATTCAACGCTGGTTTTCTGTGGGGAGCCCCTACGGCTCCCTGGAGCTTCATACCCAAAGAGAAGGAAAAGAAAGGGCTAACCCGGGAGGCGGCCGCCACAAACTCTGCAACGCAAAGCCAAGACAACCGGTCGCAAACCTGCGACCCAAGGCAACAAGAACGCCCAAGAACAGACGCACACATGGATGGGCGGCCAAAAACCTGTGCGACCCACAATTCCCTGCGCCCGAAATGAGCCCGAGACGTCACCAACACAGCAGCAATTGCTGCAAACGTCTGAACAGCACGGGCGCAAAGACAGACCGCAGTAAGAAGGAAAACACTGCGGACGACCCGGGAGACCCGAGCCCTGAAAACAGGGAACGAAGGAACCGGATCAACCACAGCGCATCCCCAGGCACGGTACGCCGGCAACAGCAAAAAGCACAACTGGACAACACAGGACGCACCCCCCGGCCAAACCAAACAAGTACCAATACCCCAAGAACCCCTCCGGAAAGCAGCCGTCTCGACCGTCGCCAGGACAGAGAAAGGCTGCACACCAATAAAGCTACCACCAGTACCAAAGAGGAGGAAACTGAAACCGAAGGGGCTACCACAAACTGAGGGGAAGAGAAGAAGGCACCCTGAACAAGGACCAGGATGGCTCAGGCGACTCATGAGCAGGCCGGAGGGGAAACAAAACGCGAGAAGACGTAATAAACGTCATACAGTCTCCAAGACGAAGCTCGCAGGTGGGACACCGTCAACAAAGCCACCTGAACACCATAGAGATGGCGATACCTGCGTCAAAATACCAGACGCGAAGAGCCAAAGAGAAGGCCGAACCAGTCACGGACAGGACCGATTCGGCCTGCTGAAAGAGGCGAAGCCTCAGGAAAAACGCCCCGGGTACGGACACCTATCAAGCAGCGTCTGAAAAGAAGGCCGGGCCGGCCACAGTGGAACCATAAGGACTGTTCTCGTGGGAATGGGCTGCAACTGAGCCAGAACCCGAAGCAACAGCTGGACCGGGAGAAGAGGTACAGGTACCCCCCACCTCGACCAGGCCTGCCGAAAGCCTCCACCGTGAAGTCCTCGCAGGTGGGAAGGGCGCCACAAAACGGGCGACGCCTAGACCACGCCGACCCGAAGACGTCCATGGCCAGGAGTCCATAAGCCCAACAGAGCCAACAAAACGAATCGGCGACGACTGGCCAACCCACGAAGAGGAATGAACCGAGACAGCTGTCCACCAGGACGCAGGACACACCCCGGACACGAACCACACGGTTAACCAAACCCCCTGTGGTTCCGGCAAGAACCACCAGAGAACAGTCCAAACAGAGCTGAATGGTAGAGTACCTAGTGACCCAAACCCTCCGAAGCGCAAACCAGACAGCCATGAACACCTGAACCGGGCTGTGAGCCCGACGGACAGACAGACTCCATCAACCTCGGCCGACCTGGTGAGCACTGGTCACAAAGCCCCAGCCGAGAGACGACCCGTCCGTGAACACATCGAGCGAAGGCTCGGGGAGCCGCCAAGGCACGGAACCCCGAAAACCCCAAAGAGGAAGCTGGTGACGCAGCACCAACACCAGATCCCCAGAGGAACCCAAGGAATGCAAGAGGCGGAAGTGGAGTCTCCGTAGGAACCAACCGACGCCGGAGCCAAACCCGACTCCGCGGGCAGACAAG